ATAGACTTGTCCCTGCAAAATATTCCCTTCCTAATACAGGACAGGACTCTACTTGCTTTTCTTACAGCAGACTGGTACTGCAAGCTATTCTTTAATCTGTGGCCTGAAATGCCCCCCAAATCTTTTTCTATTTCCGACTTCCCTAGTGGCATACCCATAATTGTATAGCCCGTTTGCTTATTTTTTTAATCCCAAAGTGCATTACTTTGCATTTATCAGCATTAAATCTCATCTGCCATATATTTGCCCACTTCCCTATTTTATTCAGGTCCTCCTGTAATGCTATACTGTCTAGGTCCGTTTCTATTACCCTCCCGATTTTTAAAAAAAATTTAAAGTCATCACTGTACAATTAACGTTTTCACTCTGCTTGTTTATCTGTTGCTGTACAGACTTTTATTGACATGAGGAGTATTTTATGAACCTCAGACCTACTATTCTGTTGTCATAATTGCCTATGTTTAAGACTTTGGCACATGGTTTGCTTTTCAAATATTTCCTCACCTCCTCATCATGTGACAGTTTTTGTGCTTTGCCATTGACCACTCAGGATCAAGCACTACAATATATGAAGGGGTCAAATGCTCCTCCATACTGGGATGCACCAGGTATTTTGCAGCAGCTGTGACTGAGTAGGAAGTGACTGATATCAGAAAGTTGAAGGCTACTGTAAATTAGATGTATATGGGCTACTGCCGTAGCAAAATTAAAGAACTTGGTGCTAGTGATTCATCCCTACAGCTCACCTCAGTACATAACGAGAAGAGAGCAGTGGATGGCAATGTCCATAAAAGCTGTCATAATACTGTACATAGGAAAGAACATTTATAACCCAATTTAAGTGTATTTTTTGCAGCTTCTGTTGTGCTATCTGATAATGCATAATATTTACATACATGTACAAGGATCATTTACATAGAAAACTTGCATAGATTGTACATATAACTTACCTCCTCTCTGTTAACTCCAGGTGCCGCTACTGCAGCTCGGACACTGCTGCTCTCCAGTGTGCCAGTGACTTTTCTGCGCTCGTACTCCAGAAGTGACATTTGCATTTGGGCTGCAATTGCCAAAGCTCTCTCCCTTTTTTCATTAAACAATGGGATCTTTAGATTTTCTTCTAAGATACTGTTTTCTTTACATTTAAGATAGTAGGTTTTCTTTGAATGCGTGCTGCCTATTAAAAAGCAATGACAATTATCAAAAAAACTAGCAATCATTTTAAAGAGGAATTACAGCATACTGTTGTCAAACAATACAAATGTTTACACAGTGTTGTTCTCTACTAAATTATGTCTATCATGGCACCTTAAATTTAATAATTTACTAGTGCGTTTTTAAGAGCAGCAATGATAACTTAGAGAAGTGCCCCTTTATTTGCTATGCTCAGGTGCAGGCATGGGTCCCTTTAAGTTCTTTTTCCACAATTCTATGGCTTTCCATAAGCCTCGGGACTCGTGGACATGCCCGTGGAATTTAGGTTTCCCTGTTTCTCACCATTAGATGCTCAGAGAGACCAGACCTAATGGGGTAGAGGAGGATGTACATGTGATCTGCCACCAGGTGCATTGTCCCACCACTGTTAATACAACAGCCAGGTTGGAACACAATAGCAGAGCTTCAAAAGAAGACCCAGTCACTGCACAGAGCAGTTTGGCAACTATGTCCAGAGTAGGTTTGGTTGGTGGTCCTGTCTCTACAGTGCTATACTAGTGCTTCTAGAGACTTATCCTCTCACCTGCCTGTGGCACTGGTCCTTTGATCCCTCCAGTTTAACTCCTGAACTACCAGACCAACCTCCTTTGGTGTGAGAGGGACTCTGCTACAAGGAGCCAAGCACAAGCAGCCAAGTGCACTGTACTGTTTTACTGTATAGTTATGCTTAACTGCAATTAACTCCACTAAGTATTTCTTTCTCCTAGGCAGCTCCAGTTATTACAACAGTTTAATTCCCTGTTATATATTGTTCAATGCTGTATGCATTTTTGCTATGTGTTTGTTGAACCAAAATTTCCATCTTCCTCATACATTACACCTACACATATCATATACGGTTTTTGAAGGACAAAATGGGCTTTAATTTGATGTGACATATGGATATATACATTTTTTTAATTAATTTTTTTAAAACATTTGAAAAAAAAGAACCCCCCACACACATTTTTGATAGTTTTGGCAATAATAACATGTACATAATTAGTGTAGCTAACAGAAAGCAATTCATAATAAATTATTGTATTTGTCCTGATTTAGAAGGTATATCACATGTGTGGGATTTCAGTTTATTTTGTTATAGGTTATAGGTCATAGAAAACAAGGAGTAAAATTCAATTTTAGTCTGGAACAATTTTAGAATGTTTTTCAGCACTATATTTTCTTATTATTTTTTTATTACTGGTTTAAGACTTTTTTGACTGTTTCCTTTTTTTATTTATTTTTTTAAACTAGGGGGCACTAAGGGGTTATTTTTTATTTACAGGGGCTTTAAAACTTAGAATCTCTGAGTAGAATACAGTATTCTCCTCAGAGATACTTTGTATCACTTTGTAACAAACAGCCAGCTAGCAGTTGCACAACACAGTGAGCTGCTGCCGGCTTTGTGTCTGTCACGGCTCTGCGATCACAGGGATCAGCTATCGGTGTGGTCCTAGGTCTGCGACAACCTCATCTGCAGTTGAGGGGCTGCCTCGATTCCTGGAGGGACTCATCAACAGCAGTAACTCAATGAGCGCTGGTCCCTTAAGGGACCAGCGCTCATTGTACTGCATGACGGGATTATCCTGTCACCGTTCGTTAAAGAACTGAACGATCATGATGGGATAATCCCATCATCGGTCTGGGAAAGGGTTAACGGGGTTCCAAATCCAAAAGTGCAATAAATTGCAGTTAGCCAGTCATTAGATGTGGTGGCTGTATTAGTTTTCCTATTCAAGGTTTTTGTCCCCCTTTATTTCTTTTTCCTGGTGAGCCTGCTAGCTACACACTTCCTGTCCTAGGGTGACAATCCTCACTCACCCATACTGTATCTATGGAGCCCTGTCACCCTAGGACAGGACAACAGAAAATCTACCTCTTTTCTGTTCTCCATAACATGGGGGTTCTGGAACAATGCTAAATACTAACACAGTCAGTTTTTGGCTCACAAGATTTCTTTTAGGATCAACAGGTTTTTTTCCCCTTATCAAACAGATATAACAACATTATTTTAATTATATATTTAAAAGATTAAAAGGGATCAAATATGAAAAATGTATTATTTGTGTCTATATAATATACACAATATACTGGGAAAATATTCTGTTGTCTAAGAGAATAAACCTGGTTTTGGATCCATTACCAGATATTTGCTATATTCTGTGCTCCAGAATGAAATTTAGAATGGTCCAAACAAGGTAATTTACTTCATGGTGCACCTAAAAGGGCATGTATCTACATGTATTGGCATTCAAAAATTGAAAAAAAACTGCTTGAATCACTAAGACAGGGTTAGACAACCTCGGCACTCAAGCTGTGGTGAAACTACAAATCCCATCATGCTTCTGTCCCTAGAAGTCATGCCTGTGACTGTCAGAGTCTTGCAATGCTACATAGGACTTGTAATTTCACCGCAGCAGGAGTCCCAGGATTACTTACCTCTGCATTTGGAATATATAAATGTATCAACTATTTAAACAAATGACAAATATTTCCCGTTTTATTGTGAAACTAAGGGGTCTATTCACAAAGCTGCCGTAGGCTATTCACTTCAGGCTTGTATGGCTGATTTTAGCCGTACACCGATAAAATCAGACGTACATCGGCTTGCTGTGGCTGGCTTCGGGTCGGCCAAACATGCTCAGCATGTTTGGCTGTCCCGAAGTGCAGAAGTTCCACTCAGCTGAACCAACATCTGGATCGGCTGAGCCGAACCTCCGGCAGGCTACTCACTGATGTTCGGCCTATTCTCCTAGATGCCGAACAGCAGTGAGTAAATAGCTGAATGCCGCTGAGCGGCATTCGGCTCGGCTGTTCTGCTCGGTACCTCTGTGGTACCGAGCAGAATAGAAAAACAATTAAAAAAGTAGAAAAAAATAAAATAGAAAATGATTGGGCAGAGCTAGCAGTGACAGTTAGCTCCGCCCAACTGTTTTCTATTGGCCGGGCGGTTCTGCTGCCGTCAGAATAAAAAAAACACCATAGGAATGCATAGCTAGATTCCTATTGGCTATTTCACTTTGGAATAGCCAATAGCAAACTAAAAAGAGTGCATTGATCATGTAATAGGATTAACATCTGAAAGTTACATTTGTAAACTATAAAAAAATATTTTTTTGTGAATGTATTATCCATGACTTACTGAGAATTTGGGGGTGATTTACTAACCTAAACACACACACACACACCAGGTGTGTGTGATTTTCACACAGCAAAACGTATTTATCAACCAAAAAGTCTCTAAAAGCATATTTCCACTAATGCCATATATGGAAAAATCATGCACATGATGCATATATAATGTTGCTTCACAGTTTAGACAAAAATGGTTAGCTCATGCATTTACATTCCTTGCATTCATCAACGCAAGCAACACAACATAGAGCTAATTTACCCAACATCACCTTGGAATTCAGGGCAGGGCTTTGCACAACACACCTGCTGGGTGTGTACACATTACAAAGGTGTTTAGATTCCACCCATAGATCATGCTGGGAGGGAACACACTGCAGAGGTGTATACAGGTTCGTGGTGTGTTTATAAGGTTAGTAAATCAACCCCTTTGTGTTGAACTTGCATAGTAAATTTACTAACTAACCTGTCATAAGAGTATAGGGACCGGGCTCCTAGGGCTTTTTCTGGCTATTTTGTAGTTTTTCGTGGATTGAATCCAATCTGTTGCTCAGTGAACTCTCTATGTCATTCAACACGGGTTGGAAGATAACTTTCCACCCCTTATGAAGGGTCCCAAACCTTACATTTCCAAAGTGGAGAGAAGAACTTATACTTATCTGCTTAATGGGTGGTTATGGCTGTGCATCATTGGATGAACTGGAAACTAGGGATTAAAACCAGTATTGGAACTAAGAAGTCTTGCTGATTTTTAGGGGCGGTAGTCCATTTTAACCTAGAACGGCTGGAGTGTGGCTACACTTTCAGATTGCTGTATGCTGTTTTCTTAAGTAAGAATCTGAGTCTCTTCGATACACTATATATTCTCGTTTTTTGTTGTCTAAGGTTTTTTCATATGCCATGATTTGTTCTTCAAGAACTAAACTAAATGTGTTGGCTTCCTCACAGATCTAAGCTGCTCTGACCTGTATTTTTGGGTCCTTTAAGTTGCTTTTAATAAAACACATTCAGAAAAAAAAGCAATTGCGAGGTTTCTGATGAGGCATTTTCAACTAAACTAAGCTGCGAGATTACCTTGAGCAACAAATCTACAAAACCTTCAAAATTACTTCAATTGTCAAATTGAATTTTAAGAAAAGAAATGCAGATGCGAGCAATACAAATAAGTGATGAGATGCCATTCTTGATGAATAAAAAAAAATCTTGTTCCAATCAAAACGTCTTAGAAGAAGCAAAGCTGTTTAACAACCAACATAAAGTGAAATGTCAGGATTTCCGAAATGTCAAGAAGGATGTAATTTACTAACATGCAGAACCAGACTGAGACTGAGTTTTTTGACAAGGCAATACAAAATTGCAGTACTACTGGTGTCCAAAGTAGAGTACACCATAGCAATCAATGAGATTTCACTTTTCATCGGTTAGGGCAATGACAGATATAGGCATTTTAGCTTATATCTGTTTATGTGACTAAAAATGTTGAATGGAAAGAGCAATAATGTTAATGCATGGGCTTTGAAGTCTTTATAATTGAGTTTCAATTCAACACTGTAAAACTAGAAAAGGATATATATGTATTTCTCAAATTAATAAAATAGAACAGGTGTCTGCAGGAGGCTACTGTTAAAAATGTCCCACTTCAAAACATAAAGATAATCTCCAGGCTTACTCCCACCCTACACAACCCCCTGCCCTCACCACCCTCTAACTAATGCCTGGCATAGCATTAAAAAAACTACCTAAAGGCCACTTTTACTCACCTAAATCTGTGGTCACATGATGTTTTGGTCTTCCTCTTCCTTGTTGTACAGGAGATGGGGCCTTCTTTGGATGTTTACATCACTGCCTGTGTGATGTGGACTCTATTGGCTGTCCAGGGGTGGGATCCTCTTGGGATCCATAAGAGGAGGTTTTGGTGGGGACAAGAGGGGGTCATCGGGGACCGACCTGCACAGGCATATGTACATTGCTAGATTTCAGGTCCCCTGCGCCCAGAAAAGGTGCCAGTGAGTAAATCATCACTTCAAAAGGTATTTTAAAAAATACAACATGAGTGAGGAGAACAATCATAGTTATTACTTTGTTTTGTTTCACTAACCGGCAATTAGTAGAAACAGTATGAAGTAATATAAATTACAATGCAGATTTATACCTTGCTCATTATGCTGCTGACTTCCTTTAGCTAAGGTGTGTTTAACAGAGAGTCGTCTTTTTGTAGAAACTGGAATGGAAATTTGCTTTGGAATCTCAAAATGCTCAGGCATACTTATTTCCACATCATACTGGATAGACTGGAACATTTTAGAGCAGGAGGAAGAAGGAGACCTGAAAGACAAATTCACCTGTAAAGAGGAATTCACCTGTAAAGAGGAAAGGAAAAATTAATATATAACAAGCCCAAAAGTCTCATAAAAAATTAAGAGTTCAGTGACATGTTCAAAGTGTTTGTGACTTTAGGATTTTGTAAAGTCATAAAGGTACTTAAACTGTAATATACAATAACCTTATTTTTCCAATTCCTGCAGGTTTGGTAGACTCGCACTACCTGATGTCAGACTGATGCTTGGGTAGCCTATATCAAAGTCAATCAGACAGGTTGGAAAGATTCTGATAAAAGTTGTGTCTGCCCACACTGTCATACTAAAAAAAACAGCAGTGTGGTTTGACTTTGTTCTTTGGCATGGGATAAAAGTTTTATCTAAAAAGGCCACATATAAAAAAGAAAATACACAAGCTGCATATCAATGGAGTTGAACATCAGCAGGCATACTGCAGGTCATTCCCATTATGACAACTCACATAAATCAATGTCTCTGCCTTTCTGGCCTTTCCAAGGTTCCCAGACAAAGCATAGGTATAGTACAACAATATTCCATATCAAGAGATTCACATAATTCTTGCATTAATTGCCCATTAAACAATACGTAAGTTGTATTTCATTATATAAAACAAATCAGTCAGATCATGGAACTGCAAACACTGTTTCAGGAACAACTAGTTCAAAACTTTTGTGATGGCCTTTGAATGGAGATGGAAACTCATAAACACAGCTGAACAACCTGGAAACTGTACATGTACATGTCAGCAAAGACAGTTTTACATCTAGCGAAGTAAACAAACTGTGTGGATTTGAAAGGCTAGTATCCCCATCTTTACTTAGCACTAGTGGAGATATACATATTCTCCTGAACCTCTACGCCAGAGCAGGACCACTGCTGTTTCTGTGCTGAATGATAGCATGGAAGGTGGTAATGTTTGCCACAGAAATTTTAGTAACGTGAAAGTACATTTTTACATGCGCCATAGTTCAACTAATTTGTATTTGTTCAAATTTAAAAGGTTTGCTACAAAAAAATGTATGTATGGTTTAGATTGCTCACAATGTATATTTTATATAACACAAAGAATAATGGCTTTATATAATGCATTTAAATTTGCATTCGGAAAGTTGATATGCAAATTAAATGAATTAATTTGAAGTCTCATAAGTAATTGCCATGCAGTCATCTTTCACAGCACAATTATAGTAAGGCCATCTTGACCTTTTTAATAAATACAGTACACTCAAGTGTCTGTCAGCACAATAAATAGAAAATAAATAAATAACTAGAGCCATCTCTGAATGACCAGCGCTTTTGATTTATACTCCTGTTTGGCTTACTGAAAAGAGAAAATCTAACAGGCTCCTTCGAAGAGCTTCTTTTATTTTCTTCAAAATTAAAATCACAATACACTTTTCAACTTTTTCTTACAATAGTCTAAGTTTTTGAAAGTGCAATAAAGGTAAATAAAACAGAAGATCTGCCCACTCAGACAAAAATGTTTTGGACACCGTGGGGGGATAAAAAAAGTTTTTGAGATAAGCTATACTGTATCTCAACTGGTGCGTTTTTTTCCACACAGCTTTGAAAATGAGAATGTAAAAGTTATTGGCTGTGTTAGAGTTGAGACAAAGTTACGACAAACTTTGTCTGGTACACTTTTTATTAAATTTCCCTCTATATCTTTAGTCTGTAAAATCTGTGACCAACTGGTGCTTAAATGATAGCATAGTGGAAACCATGATGTTACATAGTTACATAGTATTTGAGGTTGAATAAAGACATCAAGTCCAAACTATTGCTGATGTGTGCGTATGTATAGGTCCATGTCTCATCTCATTCTCAACAGTACCTGTACCCCTGTAAATTATGGTCTCTCAGGAAATCATCCAAAAGCTTCTTGAATGATTCCACACTCTTAGCTGAAATCACTGCCTGTGGTAGTGAGTCCCAGACCCTAACCACTCTAACTGTGAAGAACCCCCTTCGCCCCTTGTGCTGGAATTTTTTTTCCACCAATTTTAGGTGGTGGCCTCTAGACTTTGTTATGGAGTTAATGGTAAAGAGTTTGTGGCTAATGTTGCTATCACCATTGAACATCTTGTACATGAAAATCATATCCCCCGTTAATCTCCTTACTTCCAACGTGAACATGTTTAAATTTAGTAGCCTTGTCTCATAGCTCTGGTCCTCCATCCCCTTTAAGAGTTTGGTTGCCCTCCGCTGGACTCTTTCCAGCTCCAGCTTTCTGTGGACTGGTGACCAAAACTGGTCCGCATACTCCAGATGAGGCCGAACCAATGATGTGTAAAGTTGCACAATTATAGACTTGTCCCTGCAAAATATTCCCTTCCTAATACAGGACAGGACTCTACTTGCTTTTCTTACAGCAGACTGGTACTGCAAGCTATTCTTTAATCTGTGGCCTGAAATGCCCCCCAAATCTTTTTCTATTTCCGACTTCCCTAGTGGCATACCCATAATTGTATAGCCCGTTTGCTTATTTTTTTAATCCCAAAGTGCATTACTTTGCATTTATCAGCATTAAATCTCATCTGCCATATATTTGCCCACTTCCCTATTTTATTCAGGTCCTCCTGTAATGCTATACTGTCTAGGTCCGTTTCTATTACCCTCCCGATTTTTAAAAAAAATTTAAAGTCATCACTGTACAATTAACGTTTTCACTCTGCTTGTTTATCTGTTGCTGTACAGACTTTTATTGACATGAGGAGTATTTTATGAACCTCAGACCTACTATTCTGTTGTCATAATTGCCTATGTTTAAGACTTTGGCACATGGTTTGCTTTTCAAATATTTCCTCACCTCCTCATCATGTGACAGTTTTTGTGCTTTGCCATTGACCACTCAGGATCAAGCACTACAATATATGAAGGGGTCAAATGCTCCTCCATACTGGGATGCACCAGGTATTTTGCAGCAGCTGTGACTGAGTAGGAAGTGACTGATATCAGAAAGTTGAAGGCTACTGTAAATTAGATGTATATGGGCTACTGCCGTAGCAAAATTAAAGAACTTGGTGCTAGTGATTCATCCCTACAGCTCACCTCAGTACATAACGAGAAGAGAGCAGTGGATGGCAATGTCCATAAAAGCTGTCATAATACTGTACATAGGAAAGAACATTTATAACCCAATTTAAGTGTATTTTTTGCAGCTTCTGTTGTGCTATCTGATAATGCATAATATTTACATACATGTACAAGGATCATTTACATAGAAAACTTGCATAGATTGTACATATAACTTACCTCCTCTCTGTTAACTCCAGGTGCCGCTACTGCAGCTCGGACACTGCTGCTCTCCAGTGTGCCAGTGACTTTTCTGCGCTCGTACTCCAGAAGTGACATTTGCATTTGGGCTGCAATTGCCAAAGCTCTCTCCCTTTTTTCATTAAACAATGGGATCTTTAGATTTTCTTCTAAGATACTGTTTTCTTTACATTTAAGATAGTAGGTTTTCTTTGAATGCGTGCTGCCTATTAAAAAGCAATGACAATTATCAAAAAAACTAGCAATCATTTTAAAGAGGAATTACAGCATACTGTTGTCAAACAATACAAATGTTTACACAGTGTTGTTCTCTACTAAATTATGTCTATCATGGCACCTTAAATTTAATAATTTACTAGTGCGTTTTTAAGAGCAGCAATGATAACTTAGAGAAGTGCCCCTTTATTTGCTATGCTCAGGTGCAGGCATGGGTCCCTTTAAGTTCTTTTTCCACAATTCTATGGCTTTCCATAAGCCTCGGGACTCGTGGACATGCCCGTGGAATTTAGGTTTCCCTGTTTCTCACCATTAGATGCTCAGAGAGACCAGACCTAATGGGGTAGAGGAGGATGTACATGTGATCTGCCACCAGGTGCATTGTCCCACCACTGTTAATACAACAGCCAGGTTGGAACACAATAGCAGAGCTTCAAAAGAAGACCCAGTCACTGCACAGAGCAGTTTGGCAACTATGTCCAGAGTAGGTTTGGTTGGTGGTCCTGTCTCTACAGTGCTATACTAGTGCTTCTAGAGACTTATCCTCTCACCTGCCTGTGGCACTGGTCCTTTGATCCCTCCAGTTTAACTCCTGAACTACCAGACCAACCTCCTTTGGTGTGAGAGGGACTCTGCTACAAGGAGCCAAGCACAAGCAGCCAAGTGCACTGTACTGTTTTACTGTATAGTTATGCTTAACTGCAATTAACTCCACTAAGTATTTCTTTCTCCTAGGCAGCTCCAGTTATTACAACAGTTTAATTCCCTGTTATATATTGTTCAATGCTGTATGCATTTTTGCTATGTGTTTGTTGAACCAAAATTTCCATCTTCCTCATACATTACACCTACACATATCATATACGGTTTTTGAAGGACAAAATGGGCTTTAATTTGATGTGACATATGGATATATACATTTTTTTAATTAATTTTTTTAAAACATTTGAAAAAAAAGAACCCCCCACACACATTTTTGATAGTTTTGGCAATAATAACATGTACATAATTAGTGTAGCTAACAGAAAGCAATTCATAATAAATTATTGTATTTGTCCTGATTTAGAAGGTATATCACATGTGTGGGATTTCAGTTTATTTTGTTATAGGTTATAGGTCATAGAAAACAAGGAGTAAAATTCAATTTTAGTCTGGAACAATTTTAGAATGTTTTTCAGCACTATATTTTCTTATTATTTTTTTATTACTGGTTTAAGACTTTTTTGACTGTTTCCTTTTTTTATTTATTTTTTTAAACTAGGGGGCACTAAGGGGTTATTTTTTATTTACAGGGGCTTTAAAACTTAGAATCTCTGAGTAGAATACAGTATTCTCCTCAGAGATACTTTGTATCACTTTGTAACAAACAGCCAGCTAGCAGTTGCACAACACAGTGAGCTGCTGCCGGCTTTGTGTCTGTCACGGCTCTGCGATCACAGGGATCAGCTATCGGTGTGGTCCTAGGTCTGCGACAACCTCATCTGCAGTTGAGGGGCTGCCTCGATTCCTGGAGGGACTCATCAACAGCAGTAACTCAATGAGCGCTGGTCCCTTAAGGGACCAGCGCTCATTGTACTGCATGACGGGATTATCCTGTCACCGTTCGTTAAAGAACTGAACGATCATGATGGGATAATCCCATCATCGGTCTGGGAAAGGGTTAACGGGGTTCCAAATCCAAAAGTGCAATAAATTGCAGTTAGCCAGTCATTAGATGTGGTGGCTGTATTAGTTTTCCTATTCAAGGTTTTTGTCCCCCTTTATTTCTTTTTCCTGGTGAGCCTGCTAGCTACACACTTCCTGTCCTAGGGTGACAATCCTCACTCACCCATACTGTATCTATGGAGCCCTGTCACCCTAGGACAGGACAACAGAAAATCTACCTCTTTTCTGTTCTCCATAACATGGGGGTTCTGGAACAATGCTAAATACTAACACAGTCAGTTTTTGGCTCACAAGATTTCTTTTAGGATCAACAGGTTTTTTTCCCCTTATCAAACAGATATAACAACATTATTTTAATTATATATTTAAAAGATTAAAAGGGATCAAATATGAAAAATGTATTATTTGTGTCTATATAATATACACAATATACTGGGAAAATATTCTGTTGTCTAAGAGAATAAACCTGGTTTTGGATCCATTACCAGATATTTGCTATATTCTGTGCTCCAGAATGAAATTTAGAATGGTCCAAACAAGGTAATTTACTTCATGGTGCACCTAAAAGGGCATGTATCTACATGTATTGGCATTCAAAAATTGAAAAAAAACTGCTTGAATCACTAAGACAGGGTTAGACAACCTCGGCACTCAAGCTGTGGTGAAACTACAAATCCCATCATGCTTCTGTCCCTAGAAGTCATGCCTGTGACTGTCAGAGTCTTGCAATGCTACATAGGACTTGTAATTTCACCGCAGCAGGAGTCCCAGGATTACTTACCTCTGCATTTGGAATATATAAATGTATCAACTATTTAAACAAATGACAAATATTTCCCGTTTTATTGTGAAACTAAGGGGTCTATTCACAAAGCTGCCGTAGGCTATTCACTTCAGGCTTGTATGGCTGATTTTAGCCGTACACCGATAAAATCAGACGTACATCGGCTTGCTGTGGCTGGCTTCGGGTCGGCCAAACATGCTCAGCATGTTTGGCTGTCCCGAAGTGCAGAAGTTCCACTCAGCTGAACCAACATCTGGATCGGCTGAGCCGAACCTCCGGCAGGCTACTCACTGATGTTCGGCCTATTCTCCTAGATGCCGAACAGCAGTGAGTAAATAGCTGAATGCCGCTGAGCGGCATTCGGCTCGGCTGTTCTGCTCGGTACCTCTGTGGTACCGAGCAGAATAGAAAAACAATTAAAAAAGTAGAAAAAAATAAAATAGAAAATGATTGGGCAGAGCTAGCAGTGACAGTTAGCTCCGCCCAACTGTTTTCTATTGGCCGGGCGGTTCTGCTGCCGTCAGAATAAAAAAAACACCATAGGAATGCATAGCTAGATTCCTATTGGCTATTTCACTTTGGAATAGCCAATAGCAAACTAGCTATTGCACCCGCCCTCTGCTGCTGTCAATCACTAGAAGGGGACCTGATGGAGAACTTCAGGTCCCCTCTGCTGATTGACAGCAGCAGTGGGCGGGTGCAATAGCTAGTTTGCTATTGCAAATTGAAATAGCCAATAGGAATGTAGCTATGCATTCCTATGCTGTTTTTTAATTTTTATTATTTTGACGGCAGCCAATGGCTCCGATGTCAGAAGAAAAATTAAAAAAGACAACAGAGCAGGGAAAGGTTTACTCTGCTCGAGTGAACCTTTCCGGGAGAAAGTGTATATCTCCTGGGCAGCCGGGAGCCGCTATCTAATAGCGGGAGACTCCCAGAGCATGTGGGAGAGTTGGGCTGTCTGGAGATCAGCGTCCCTGATTACCTGGTAACCTGGCAAGTGCCCGGAGCCAGCCGTGAGATGACGGCTGGCTCCGCCCAGCGTTTAGTAGCATGCTGTCGGCCAGCTTCGGCTTTCACCTGAGCTCAGGCAAGCCGAGGCATATGCCTTCAGCTCGACTGAGCCCCTTGGCCAACTTTGGGAGCTATACGGGCTATAGTGAATAGCCCTTACAGCAGCCCTTCGGTTCTACTGAACCGAAGGGGTCCTGGGGTTGAAGGGGTCCTGGGGTCGAAGATCCCTCGGCAGCTTTGTGAATAGACCCCTAAATGTAAGAAGTCTTAAAAACCGAATATCATCCTTTAATATTTTTGTATATCCATACTGGACATTTTTATACATTTAGAATAATGGTGATTTTCATCAGGCACAAAGACAATACAGTCATTTTTATTGAGCAACTCAATTATTTTATGCCCTCGTATTTTATACTCTTACAGAAAGAAACCCATTTCTTTGCAGTTTTTGCTATCATACAATTATACATATCTATTAGGAATAAAAATGTGTGTTGACACAGCTGCTTTTAAATTGGCATATCTGAATATACTAGTATAGTTGATGAGTAGAATAATACCACTTTTATCACAGTTCAACTATTCAAAAGCTTTTTCATTAAAAAAAAAGAGCTTCAAAATAATTTCAGCGGGATCTTTAAAAAAAATATAACCTTAGCAGAATTTCAACAATTGGCCTATAGGCCATTGTTAAAACATTAATTTTTGCATTATAGCAGCATAATATAATTAGCATTGACTACAGAACTTTAATTAACTTGACAGGATTTAAATATAAAATGTGAAGTTAATTGAGTTTAACAATTTTCTACATTTGATTTTGTGTTGTACATGTTTTCGAAAATATGAATGTCTTCATAATTTGTTACCTATTTCTAAGTGTTACCTATTTAAAAGATTACTATGATTACCCATGGTCATGGAACATGAAACAAGGCAGGTTTGCTACTCTAGGACACTTTTTTCTTATTTTAGTTGCATGTTAATGCTCAATTCCAGGATAAAAAATAGTATAAGGTGCATGCACCAACAGCAGCAAGAAGCTGGATCAGGCAGTCTTGTAAGTCTTTAGGAACCTTTACTCCAGTGCTTTGTTCATCTGCACAGCCTTGCTTATTTGATTGATCTACTCTTGGTGACAAAAATATTTTAGAACTGCAAAGCTCACCTAGCATGGTATGTCTAAAACCTCTTACGGCCATTTTTTTATCTACATTAAAAAAATATTTTGTATGATTTGTTTTACACGATTTGCATACATATTTCAGAAATAGTTTGTTGTCAATAAAGGCAGATAGCCAATGCTGTTTTCAGGGAGAAATAAACTGGGTTTAAATTAAATAGCTAAAGCAAAATATTTTATTTTTTACAAACAGACCATGCACTGAATAAAGTAAATTTAAGCAGAAAAGTACAAACCTGAAAGTGAATCAGTGGCTTGAAAAACATTTGGACTGTCAACAGGAATAAATGATGATGGCAAGGGTGAAGTTCCAGTTCCCTCAATCACATATGCAAAGTCACCAATCTGAAAGGTATAAAATGGAGCAATAAGAAATTGACGCAAAAGCTTAAACTGCTAAACATAAAATATATTCATATTCATTTGGCTCTTTGATCTTACTAGATCTCCTATCCTTAGCTACAAGCAAAGTAAAGGTTATACACACCCTAAAAACCCATATACAAAGAAATAAGATTCAGATTTTTGTATGAATAGCTAAACATGGCCATCTTCATCTGATCAGATATTATAATAAAAACTAGAAAACATCTAAAGAGTGAAATGCCATTATCTTCCAGTGGATATGGTGTCTGACAAACTATTATAGAATGCCTTTCTTAATTAATAGGGAAAATTGGATCTCTGTATGGTAACAACTTACCGTAAAACATGAAGACATAAAGTGCTGATTATAGCTAAAGGTATAAGCTGAAGTGCTTAAGATGTGTAGGCCAGTCTATGTTGACTCCAGTTGTGCAGCATGTGGACATTGTATGGTTCTATAGATACTTGTACAATCAGGTTTCATGTAAAAATGCCCACACAAGGGTTTGGAAATTTCAGATATAAGTGCTGATTATAGCTAAAAGGTATCAGCTGCAGTGCTTAGGACTATGTTGACTCCAGTTGTGCAGCATGTGGACAATGTATGGTTCTATATGTACTTGTACAATCTGTACTATTGATCTTACAGAATATTTTACTGTATATCTCTGTGTAGGCATTTACAGCCAAATGCAGCTGGGCCACATACACATAGCTAGATGTGCTTATGTATAGCTATCCTTAAATACAACATATATCTTTTTAATGATAATGCATTTTACATTTACCATAGATTTTTAGTGGAGCAACTAGAATTAATTGGGTTTATCTCAATTAATGATAACTTTACATTTCATGCTGATCTTAGCAGCAAAGAGAAAGCGTAAAACAAATGAGACAGTAAAGGCAAATCAAAATAAATAGCAAAATATTTGTGGAACACCCTGTTACACGCTTATTCAGTGAAGCAAAGAGCAATGTGCAAAGTGCAGTACTGCATATTAACCTGTTTTGTGAAGTAGGTTATAGCAGTTTATCATAATTGTTATTATCTGCCTTAATAAATAAGATTACATATGAATTTTCACAGCCTGCTATGAAAATGTTAATTTGCAATGACTGTGGTTCAGAGCAGTGCACCATAAACTTAAAAGGTTAAACTTTTAGCTGATGGAAAAGGATATGGAAAACAGTAAATGCAAACCACTTGTTATTTATTGATCATCTGTAATCTCGATCACATTTACTAAACACAGAATACTGTTTGCTTGAATGTAACTCCCAATCTACCTAATTCAATTCTGGATGCTTTTTCATACTGTTTCAATCAAGTTGTCATTTCAGAATGTTTCCCCTTTTTAACTCGCATACACACGTATAAAAGTGACAGAACCCCTCCAAATGATTAATGCTAGGTTTCAATCTAATCAGAAAGGTTAATGCTATTTTAGATTGCTTTAAATGAACTTTCCGTAACTCTCTATGCTATCACAATATATTTGTAAATTGTCACCACCATTATTGTTTTATTAAGGCAGTTGCTTAAAGAATATATCACACCATATACTGTACATCCCCAATTCACAAAAAGTTAACTACATAAAAACAGAATGCAATGCTTTGCAAATCTCATAATCCGATATTGTATTCCCAATAGAAAATTGAAAACATATCCAATGTTTAGACTGAGAAAATGTACCATTCTCAGAAAAAAATAAGGTAATTTTGAAATTGATGGCAGCAGCGTGTCTCAAAAAAGTTGGGACAGGGCCATGTTTACCGTGTTGTAGCATCCCCTCTTCTTTTAACAACACTGTCTGGGAACTGAGGATACCAGTTGCTAGAGTGTTGGGATAGGAATGTTGTCCCAGTCTTGATATAGGATTCTAACTGCTCAACAGTCCTGAGTCTTCTTTGTCATTTTTTTATTACAAGATGTGCCAAATAGTTTTAATTTGGTGAAAGGTCTGGACGACAGGCAGGCCAGTTAAGCACACAGACTCTTCTACTACGAAGCAATGCTGTTGTCATAGATGCAGTGTGCGGTTTAGCATTGTCCTGCTGAAATATACAAGGCCTTCCCTGAAAAAAGATGTCATCTGGATGGGAGCATATGCTGCCCTAAAACCTGGATATATCTTTCAGCATTGATGGTGCCTTTCCAGATGTGCAAGCTGCCCAATCCATACGTACTATACACCCCATACCAGATTGGTGAACCTCTGCCCATCTGTACTTCTGAGACAGTCTGACTCTCTAAGATGCTCTTTTTATATCCAAACAAGTTACTGACCTGTTGCCAATTAACCTAATTAGTTTCAAAATATTTTTCCAGCTCTTCCTTGTTAGTACAAGGCATAGGCTCAATGTTCGAGTCCAGCAAGAGTTCAACTTGAACATCAGCAGTTCCTGTGTTCAGCGAACACACGAACTGTCAGGGCATTCAGCAGGCTGTTTGCTCGCCAAGCACCCCACAAGGCACTACTATGCATTGCACAGTGCCTTGTGAGCTCTGATTGGCTAAAGCCTTGCATCTGACCACAAGTCAGGTGCAAGACTTTGGCCCAATCAGGACACAATACTCTGTAAGAGCCATGATTGGGCAAAGTCATGATGATTTTGCCCAATCATGGCTAACCTGTCAGATGCTGTACATCTGTAACCAGTTGGGCGATGCTAGCTAGCTGCCACCGCTAGCTCCGCCCAATTGTGTATATGTTGCCGGCATCTGTCAGAATGCCATTCGACACGAGCAGACGGGTCGGCGTCGTTGCTTAAAAACAATTATGATTTCTATAAATTTTTTCTTGTTTCATTTTTATATTTCGTGGAGTCGTCGTTGACAATGCTGGACATCGTGATTGACCCTGGATTACGTTGGTGGATCAATTTATTTGGTTTTTTTAAAATAAAAGACTTGTCAAAGACTGGGGTGCTTTTTTATTAGTTTTTTTTTTACA